GCATATCTCTCTATCACTGTTATAGAGGGCGAACAATTTATGAGTTTTACCCTGCATAAGCTTTATGCAGGGTAAAATGGATTTATTTGGGTTTAGACCCCATTGGGAGTTGAGCATCTGAGTGCTAAAGACAAGCGCACTTCTGTAAGCTGTTTTCAGGTAACTTGCAGCTTTGGGACAGGAGATTCAGACCCTGGATCTCTGTCTGGAGCCAGACAGGAGTGTCTGGCTCAGCAAGACAGGGTGCTGGAGTCCTGAGCTGGCAGGGAAAACAGAAGCAGGGGTAGTCTTTGCACATCTGGTGGCAGCTCCCAAGGGGGTTTCTGTGATCCAACCCGTCACAGGGGGACTATTTAGGTGCATACTGTTGCAGGAAAAGCCTTCTTTCACCTGTACCAGGTGGAGCAGCAGGAACAGCAGCACAGCAAACTTTGCTTTCTCAGAGTCATAGCACCACATGGTAGTAGACCATTGAGAACCGGCGGGGGTAGAAGCAGGCATTTTGTGGGAGAAAGGGGAAGGGGAGGGAGTTTCAAACTCATCAGTTTAGGGCTGTAGCAGACCAGTAAAAGGGATGGGGACCCCTCTTGCAGCCGGCCATAGCAGGTGTGTTAGAGCAGATGGGGGAGGGAGGTCCAAACTCAGCTCAAGGGGGATGGAGTGGGGCTCGAGGAATCCTGTGAAACCAGGGCTGGGATTCTCACCACATGGGCAAGAGGACCCAGGACCAGAGTGAGCAGATCCCAGGCTAGTCTATCAGTCTACCAAATGGATTCCTCTCTATTGGGAAGTATTGGGGAGCCTGGGGAAGCAAACACTCCCAGTGGTGGACTATCATGGTGGAGGCATTCAGGGGTGGGGAAGCCAACAGAGAATTGACTGGGAAGCTGCTTCCAAAGTTGCTTCCACAGCACCACAACATTTACATGGTGTAGTGGGTCACCCAGAGCCAGGACATTTGAAGGAACAGATTTCAGACAGGACAGCAACACGACTGGCAGGGGTGAGTGTGACCAGCACCAAGTGGATGTTGTAGGGGCAGGTAGTGAAAGTTAATCCCTTCCATACAATGCTGCAAGTGTCTGTAGAGGGGACCTCTGTGGGATTCAGGGAACTTGGCCACTTTTCATCTAGGGGAACCTAAGTGGAGGAGGAGAGGGTTGTCACACCTCCCCCACCAGAAGGCAGCAGCCACCGAACTTAGAGGGATAGCAGAACTAGTAAATAGGCCACGGCGGGGATCGGGTGTCCTAAAGCTTTGTCTGGGACGTCTGGGTTACACACACCTTCTACAGAAGCTAATGGCATAACAGAGCTGTTGCAAGCCAACCTTCAGTTGTTGCAGCAGCTGGGTGCTTCAACGGGTGAGAGGTCTGCAAATGATAATAATGGAAACTCAGCATGGGCTTGAGCGTGGGAGGCAGGCAACAGTCAGACATGGCAGACTCCTCACCATGGGGTGGGAGCCCTTACTGGGGGGTGATTTATAAGCACCCTACAACTCACTCACTGATAGGGAACGTGAATTCACAGGACAGAACTGCTTCCCCAGGGCCAGCTGCGGGGCTACAGGGCACCAAGGGTGCTCCGATGGTCAGCCATGACTGTGGGTATGTTGGGGTGGCTGACCCGATGGGAGTTCACCTTCTCAGTAATACTAAAGAAAATGTTGAGCGAGGTGAATATGTAGACATGTCATCACTGTTGCCCAGGGAGGTGCTGACAGACAGTAAGCCAGGGCAGAGCAAGCAAAGCAATGAGATAGCCAAGTGGGCAGGGTGGTTAGAGCATGGGAAAATAGGGAAGCTGCCTTCCTGATCTACGCTGGCGTTACTGCAGAGGCCCATCCAGACAGAAGCCCAGCATTGTTCAAATAGATGCATATAATCAGACTGGCATATAACATGTTTAGGGGCATGGCTTGGTTTCACTATGACAAACTGTTTAGATTGAATGTGGAAACAAACCAGGATCTGATGGGACATGACGCATTATACGCCGCGGTAGAGTGGATGACACTATGAGGGCCTGGTTTCCACACTAACAATGGCCTGTTCATTCTGCAGCAAGCCTGCCAGAGGCCTGAGGCTCATAATCACATCTGCTAGGCATTTAATGAAAGCAGTTGTTTTCATCACATCTTCAAATTCAAGCATGTGAAATGCACTTTGGGGCCCATGCAGCCCGCAATTGCCACAACAGTATGGGAAGACCACAGTGGGGAAACAGAATGGGAGGCAAGTCACATGCTGCCCACAGACTTCTGGGGGCAGGATCAGGGTATGGAGCCCAAGGCATAAGAAAGGGTATGGTGGGGGAGGTGTTAAGGGTGCTCTATTGAGATTACCCTAATAAGATGGATGGGTATTTATTGAATGGGTTTACTGCTTAGGATCCCCTTTATGAGGGAAGGAAGTCATGTGATGTCCAAAAATGTGAAGTCCTTAGTGGGAGTGGATTATATTGTAAAGAAAAAGATTATGCAAGAATTACAGGAGAATAGGCAGGACCATTCGATCATCTGCCTATACAGAACTTGCGTGTTTCTCCCTTAGGATTGGTGCCTAAGAAAGCTCCGGGTGATTATCACTTAATTCTTCACCAGTCATATGCATGGGGTAGCTCAATTAACAATGGCCTGGGGTGCTGATGGCTAAGTGTGATATCAAGTCTGCTTTTCCACCCCTGCATCCTTCTGACTTGAACTTTTTGGATTTCTCTTTCAAAAGACAATTCTATTTTGAGAAAGCTGTGCCCAAAGGATGTACAATATCCTGTTTGGCATAGGGCAGTGATGCGGGAAGCAGATTTATGGCAGGTAGTACATTACTTTTGTTTGTAGGCAGGGTGAATTCAGATGAGTGTATTAGCCTGATGGACACCTTTCAGGCCCTGCCTAAAAAATTAGGGGTACCCCTAGAGAAGTTAAAAACAGAGGGTCATCCACTACGTTAACCTACCTGGGGATTGAACTAGACACTCTGGTGGGTATATGACTCCCCCCCTCAGGATAAGCTTTAGGAGCTACTGGGGCTTGCGTAGGAAAGGCATCTTCACTTTGCGGGGCAGGCATTCTGTG